AAAGTCGCTCAGAAACCGTGGTCATGATCACAGTTTTTTTTCGATTATTGTGGTGCTGGGCATTATTTGAATTTCTTCCGCTAGTCCCATCTTTTTAAAATGAATATTATTTATGTGGTGATCATCGCTTCATCTATTTTAGTTGGACGAATAAATGGACACTTTTAATTTTATAAATAAATTGAACTTTCTTCTTCTTCTTTGCCAGCCACTATTGCTGTCACGCTTTTAAATTTCATTTAAATGAAGCATTGACTTTGAAAAAGATTCAATGAAATTTTTGCGACGTAGAGAAGTGCACTAACGTATGGCTAAGAGCGCAGCTAAGTTGAGGCGGACTCTTACATTGAATAAAAAGCTGAACGAAGTAAATGCATTTGCATCATACATTAAGCAAAATATTTCTTGCTTTTTTAGAATTTTTTTGCAATTTTTCTTCAACAATGCGATGCAAGATAGTTGTGCGAATACATATAAACGCATGCAATCAGATCATATTTTGACATTAAGGTACTAATGTACAATGTTCAGCGATTGAGAAAATATACGTCTTACAAAGTTTCTGACGACCATGTTGCTTGCTATTACGAAGCTAAATTATTTTTGCTCCTTGAGTTAACTCAATAAATTCCTTCAGTTTATATTGTAGCGTATGTGTGTTAATAGTTTCCATATATATTTATGACACTCATTACCGAGTCCATTTTGTCAAAATATTTCCAAGCTTCAGGTACCCCATAAAGTATAAGTGTCCTTAATTGGCATCAGATTCTGAATCGTTGGTGCGCCTGTGTAATGTGTAAACATTCTTCTGTTACTGCAAACATGATAATGTTGGCTTCCTTTCTGGCAATAGCATTCGAAAATGCTCCAAACCGGTCACAGGCCACATAAAAAGGCAACAAAAATTTAGAACGCTTTTACTTCTCGGGGTCTCAGATCACACAGGACACGCAGTATGTGTTTCCATTTTTATTCTAAAACAAGAAAAAAGATAGGCCACGCCCATCCAATGTTTAAGAGTATGAAAATTGATGTTTTCCCTTTTTTTTAGTCTGTTTTAGGACAACGATGAAGGGCTAGAATAGATTCAGTCGCAGCAGAATACAGAGTTTGTATATGTGGTTCGCTTCGCTAGTTACTATATATCTTGCCGTAACAGTTGCTTAGCTTCATCAAAGAGATTTTAAGTGCACATGTGCATTTACTTACCACATAGATGTTATAATGCATAAAATTATATACAAATTAACAGACTCTGTCTTTGCTTGTTGGATATAAAAGTTTCTGTTGTAGTCGGAAAATTTTGATTAATTAAAACCCTTAGTAATAATTAATTTTAGTGAAGCTTCGGAACGTTGTATTAAAGATAATTAAAGGTATTTATTAAATTCGACAAGACAACTGAATATAAGAGAAATATTATTCCTAATAACTTTAATTATTTTCGCTAATTTCTGCCTTCATACGTTTATTATTAAAGTATGCGCGCACGTTTCCGTGCTGTCATGCATTGACTGTTGTCTGATCTTAAAAGTGTCCGTAGTTTCAGAGACCTTTCAATTTCATTCATTCTTTACACATATACGTGAGAAAAAAAAAAAAATTATAGCAGCAATCGATTTAACTGACATATAAGTAACGTGTTTAGTATTCTTTGTGCATCGTCTTTCTGAAAGCGCCGTCATAGAAGCGTATTAATTTAATCATTTCGTTTATAACGTTAGATGTTTCATGATAATTAATTGATATTTTGTTTGTAACGTCTTTCTGCATATGACAGGGATGGACGATTGTGTCGGCCTATAACCTCAATTGTCTTTCATACTGAAAAGGTGATCGTAATAGCCTTGGATTATTTGTTAATCGCCGGATGGAATCCCTTCACCTATACTTAAAATTTAATTCCATCTTATGGTCATCAGATTAATTCCGTAAATTGGATATGTTGGCAAATGCATTGTGTGCACACTCACTCCGAGTTAGTACAAATCGGGTAAAACACGTAACTGCCGCACACTTTTGTTTGCTTAAGAATCTCTGCTTTAGGTTATCATGGGTTCTGTCTATTATTTTTAGTATTTTATGGTGATCGTATTATACTCGCTTCTGCGCAATTATTCTACACTAAGAATGTTACTTTCCGGATGTGTTATATAACATGGTTGTGATAGGGAATGTTTTTTGTAGTTCAACAATACTTTATAGTAATCTGTAGTGCAGTAATTGTAGAATAGTAAATTTAATCGTTCACGCAGAGTATAACAAAAAAGAAAAGCATGCACGGATTATCGAAAGAAACGATTATAGACGAATGATACTTTCCATTTTGGTTGCCGGTATAAATTTTAAAAGTTCTGAATGAATACTTAACACATCCAATTTCGATAATGTATAAAATTTGATGCAAGTTGCATACGAACTTTTCGTTTTGTACGATGAACTCACATATCACATATCACATATGGTTACAATACGTGGCTTTCACGACTACGTGTATTCAACCCGTTCTCTATTAGGGTCCCTTGGCGTAAACATTTATCACAGTCCAAGATATGATAGCAATTGAAATAGATCTTCCGCCCGTCTCCTTGGAGCATTCCTAGAGGGTACAATGAACGTTCTTTCAAACTGATGCAAATATGTGATGTAGGATATGTTACATATATATGACGGACGATAGCGAACGAGTTACAATGTCCAGCAACTTTGATATAATCCGAATGTTAGAGTTCTCTTGCTTAATCTTCAATTTAAAATTCCATTAAATCAATTAATTAACTAATTAATTTAAAAATCCATTAGATTAGCTACAAATTTAAGAATTTATTAAGAAACCGCATACAGAATTCGTTCGAAGCTTGCGCGCCCTTAATGAGCTCATATGATGTGGATAAGGAGAACGTTGACACGCAATGTTTATTCATGTGTTGTTCTTCATAAAGCGGACATGTAATCGGCTATATACAGCAGGCGTCCGAAATTCGCTTTATGGCAACGTAAATGTTCCTTATATGTTGTCTTTTTCATGGCTACCTAGCTGAGTTGAAGGTCATTTTGACCTTCATCATAAAATCGATGTATGTGCGTATCATTTTTAATCGTCAATTATCTGGTTTTGCCTGTTGACGGTCACTGTATTTTACGGTTTATTCCGGCCGAACTTTCAAGGGAATAACTTTATCTTCTCGAAATGCATGTAAACTTGTTGTTTCATACACATATATATAAAATTGTCTGATTTTTTTTTATTTGTCAGACGTTGCTGTTTATATATAACATTACGGGACTTTTCCAATAAAATAAATAGTGACGTTTACGGTAGTATTTATATACATGTACACATGTTTTTTTAATGGACATACGACATAATGAAAAATTTTGACAAAAACACACTCAAAACAAAAGACATTAGACAAAAAAATTAATAAAATGATAAACAACGACGAAAACTGTGGAATTTAGAAACCATAGAGCTTAACTCAGTGATCAGTGAGAACGAAATTGACGTCGACCACGATCTTAAGTCTTAAATCTTGGCGACATTTTCTTAGATGATCAAGTTAGGAAACATTTCTACGAAGCCTTTGTCCACAGTATGTCTTATGTGTAATAAGTTAAAATCATACATTATCTAGGAGAAGGGTTGCTTTTAATTACGTTATACACCGTTTATGACGCCGAGTACTTATATGCTGTTGTATACGGGAAGTCTGAGTGATTTTAGCCGGACCTATCGTTATAATACATATTCCAAGGGATTTAGAATAGTTTTAATCAATTTCAGACTATAACGCTTGTCTGTCCATCCGTCCGCTGCCTGCCTGCAATATTTAAGACTCTTTGGCAAGATTTCGGCTCAAAGGCGGAGTCTATTGAGAGTGAATGAAATTGGACCATTTTTCCAATCACTCCCTACGCGAAAAGGTTTACGATATAGAACCATCGGCCTTGGTCCAGTATAACGTTTCATATGTTTCTTGGAATTAATATCTACTGCAAATTGTAAGTTGCAGCTTTACGTTTATAGTGGGCGGGGTTGTGAAAGGGTCGTGTTAGTGGCCATTTACGAATATAGAGCATACTCAAATGGTTCCAGTTTCCTTTCGCAGTTTGTGCGAGTTTGTATGTTGTAACAGAGCATAGTAAACGAAAGGCGGACGTACAGACGGACAGATCTAACTTGGCTTAGAGTTACCGCTACTTAAGTAGCGGTTGTACAATTTAAGTGATCTCTTTAATGAAGGTCTTACCAAGGTGAAGACAAATGTTTTGTCTGGTGCTGGATTCGTATTTATTGCTCTACTCTTTAAAAAGAAAACATAAAAAAACCTTAGCTAACGGCGTATGTGCCAGTGCGGGATTATTTTTGTCAATGTACTTATTTCATTATGTATTATTTTGAACGTACCTTTCCTTTAAGTTTTCCTAAGCATTTCGATATGCAGAAAGAGAGAGAAAGAGAGCGAGAGAGAGAGAGCGAGAGAGAGAGACAGAGAGAGATGAACAAGTTTATCTATCAAAACAATCAACTGGAGTACATCTTATAGTTCTACTTGGATTCCTTTAAAAGTGGTTTATCTTCTTATTCTATTTTTGAATGAATGATCATAACTAACTGGTTTCTTTTTATAGAGTTTTTGAGATAAACATTAAAACTTAAACGTTGTCGCTTTGTTAGCAATGCTTGAAGAACGTGTTGGGCGTAGACAAGTTCAAGTCTTTTGTGTTTATTGCACTTCAAGCCGTCTTTGTTGCATCTTCTTTACTCGGGATAGCACCTTTTTTTATAAGATATAAAATTTTTGTAAATATTTATATTATGTTGAGTTAGGTTCAATTCATTGCTTTGCGCGCTGCTTCAATACCTTTGAACGCAACGATTACCGAGTAAAACGTGTTTCCAATTAATTTGTTTATTTACAATTATGTATAGTTGTATGTGAATAAATATATTTATATACACATTTACATCTGATTATTATACTATTATTTTCTAGCTAAGAGACTACTGCGGTGTATGCATCAACCGCTAGTCTCAGACTTTATTTGCATAAGTCTGTGATGTTGGCTTTTTACTACGTCAATATTCTTGATTTGTTTTCCTTTTTTTGCATTTTGTAACATTATGACATTGATTGACAGATTATAACCGTAAGTATGTAAATACATATGTGTATCATTTTAAAGGTAAGGATTTTCTTTAATTATGTGTCATACAAGTATTGCGTCTATTTCTAAATGCGTTGTGAAACTTCGATGTCATTGTTCTCTCATTCGCATATAGATTTGTGCACATTAGCTGCAGTTTGTGTCGCATAATGTGTGCGAAACTTAATTACGTTTTGCACATAAAAAGGATAAACGGCCAACTTTGTCGAAAACTTTGTCGGAATCATTTTCTTTCGACAAATTTGTAGACTCCATCTAAAGTTAGGAACATATATCTAAATAAATTTTATTTTCCATCGCTTAAGAGGACATAAATATTAATGAGATCACTACTTTTTACATCCACCATCGATTGTTGTTAACAACACCCACGAGAAGTCTTCAGGGAACATATAAGACTTGCAGCAAATCACTGAATATGTTCACACGATACACTGTATATGTCGCCGTTAGTGACGAATTCGTATGATTTTTGTATAGTCTAACGTTCGAACAAAATATCTCAAAATTTCATGACATCTTGGCCACTAGTTTAGAGGTTAGCGCTGTTTAAGGGACGCCACTTTTGGAATTCTTAAAAGGGCTTCCGACATCCGAATCTAATGTGTTAGTAAGACATTGTTTTTTAATCGAAAAAAAACATCGTTCAAGCAAAACAAAGGCTTGATTAGTGTTATATGGGCTTTGTTCCGCCGGGACTAGTGATAAAGAAATGATTTGCTCATGATGCGGAACGCTTTGGTTGGCCGAGTTTGCCAGTTGTTCCAGAAAACATTAAAAAGGTGTGCGGAAGCTTTTTGAAACTGAAAAGTGGAGGTGCATGAGATCGCTGGTCTCTTAAGATATTAAAAGGCAGTCTATTTACTATTTTGCATGAGCATTTGTCCATAAGGACGCTGAAGTGGGAGTGTGTGCCCCTTTTGCGCGCTGCTGTTTGGAGCTATTTAGACGAGGTAGAAAGGAGTCAGTTATGGCGTTTGGGACCCGAATGGTATATTATTCATCGACTATCTGGAGAAGGTACCAAGGATCAATTGTCAGTATTACGTAGCATTGTTAGCGCGATTGAATGATAAAATTTCAAAAAAAGCTCCTAACCCTACGAACTTATTGAAGTATTGATATTTTTCTCAGTATCAAATTCAGAATCAATTTAGGGACCTTAGGATATCGGCTATGAATGTTGCAAAGCATTGGAAGCTTTTGCACGCAGGCTGGTATTATAATAATAATGAATCAAATCAGTCTGAGGGTACGCCCACAGTAGAATGTAAACTGGAAATGACTCTGTTTCGAAAGCAAAAAAAGAAAAAATATAAGATTTTCATCATTACTTGAGAATTTTGTATACGCTTGAGTCGATCTTACAATAGCTACCCCTGACTGGGCCAATATTATAGAGTTACGAACTTTCGTTTTCTTTCATTTTTTTTTTGAATAGGGATAGTGGTTACAAGAAATTCGGCCATTGTCGAATATAAATTCTGCACTTGTTTTTTTTTTTATCTTAGTATTGGTTTTCGAATTAAAAAAAAAATATTCATTGAGTTGATTGACTGGCTTTTTGGTTATATACTTCCACATATTCGATGTGGAAGTAATAATGCAAACAGTTTCAGTTGATAATTCTTTCTAGTCTTTCTTGTGTAAAGTTTAATATTCGCATTAGGATAAATTATTAAGAAGAATATGACGACATTATTTTACATTCTAAAGATAAGAATGTAGGGGGTATCAAAATATAAATAATAAAAGAAATGCGAAAAATTCCTTTAACTTTAGATAAAGTTTATATGCGATACTTATCCTCCAATGCTTGGTATAATAAGTTAATTTTGTCATTTTGTTTGTAAAACTTACACTAGGTCAGAAACAGTTCTTAAATTCATTTACCTTGTCCGTCCGTATATAATTGTGAATTCGTTGTTATTTCTCCATCTGTTAGAGATCTAAGAAGTTCAACTTCTCATATATGTTTTTCATTCAATTTCAGTTCATTTCCGTATGGTTCTGATAATCAATGGTTTGCATCTTTCTATTTACTAACCATAGATAAAGCCGAGCATGCAAATAACGTTGCAAATTATTGTAAATCATGCGCATGATAGGAGAAACAAACATACGTTTATGTGAATGAATCCCCACTTTATTTACTTTTGCAATCAAACATTGCAAGAATATAAATAATTTGATCGCGCCACACATCATATGTGCTAGAAGATGAGAGATCAAGTTTGTGTGTTGTGTTCATTTTTATTTATTATAATTTATTTGGCATTTTTTTTTTTGCATTTTCATTTGTAAACTTTATATAAATTTCAATTTTTCTTTCTTTCAATAGGATTTTGATGAGAATTTTTAAATAAAGCCTACAAAACTCTAATCAATTTGAGAAAAGAAATTGAAGATGGCGGATAAAATGGGCTTGGAATTGCAGGAAAATAGTAAAATGCTTAAAAGCAATGTGGGACAAAACTTTGATATTGAATTTCAAGATCTTTTTTATCGAGTCAAAGTTCAGCGTCAAAAAGGTAAGACCACTTACACGTGCTGTTGTGGTTTTGACATATGATCAGGTTAAAATATTATAGTCGGGTAAGCACGATGTTTAAGAATCATACACCATTCATGTTTATAAAATACTGACAATTAGAGTATAATTCAAAGTTAGACGTGGTTTTCTGTAGAAGAAACTCTAAACAGTAATCTCAATCCATCCACCAAGCTTGCCTCATTCATTTCGTACACGGGCATGCGCGATGTTCCACTAACCTTTGTTGAGAAATATCAAAAATTGAAAGTTTTTTTCGTAGAAATCCTTTTCCGAAATAGGGTTTTACTAGGGAAATGTTCTTAATCAATTAATTTGAAATAAATTTCAAAACTGCAAGAGGAACGAAATAGTAACTAGAAAGATTTTCGACAGGCGGGCACACAAGACGGCGTACATCGACTTAAAAAATGCTTAAGAATCGCGCGCAAGTCATTTTGAATATTGCCTACAATACATAGAAATTTGATTTGTGTTATAGTACCACTGATGTAGATCATGATAATATCGTTGAAAGATTCACTAATTAATTATGAATTCAAATTAATTGAATAATAATTTCCCAGCTACATGTTATAGATATAGAATTCATTCTAAAGCTAGTTTGGTTTTCGTTCAGCTTCTTAAGTATATCTAGTTTAACGTCATTTTTTCATCTTATTTAACAACAGAATGTCTTTATAGAGAACTGGTTTCTATAAGACTCATTGTACAGTCATATAAAATCCCTCTCAGCGAAAGATAACATGATAATATGACAGAAGAAATCGAGTACGTTTGATGTATTGGAATTTCCTGAACTGTGTAGGCCTTTTCAATACGTCTGATTTTCTTACCGGTTCTTACAAGTATTCTATACAAAGTAATAAGAAGTTTAAAAATTGATAGTAATTGTTTTTAGATGAAAGGGTTAATAATTAAAATGAAATTTCGTAAGAAAATTATATTCGTCTGAAAGCCTTTCATAATCAACATCTCAAGCAAATATCAAAATCATCGACTGGTATTATTTTCATATAACTTTTTTAGGTAGTTCTAGGAAATAATTGTGCTGCCTTAATGTTCATAGGACATTTGACCCGAAAAGTTTGTAGCTTGAATGAATGTTGACGGATCCATATGATTTTTAGATAGGTCCGACTTTCAATCGGAATTTGTCAAAATTTTGTGACATTGGTTTAGTATTATTATAGTTATAGTTGTTACCTTCGGTGATATCTTAAATTTCAAAAGGTCGTTTAAAAAGTCTTTCGTGTCAAGTGTTCAGACCAATAGCTGCTGTTGAAGTGTTTCCAAAGGCAAGATATAAGTATCTGTCTGTAAGGGATGTACTCCATATTGCCCGAAGTTTTCATAATACAGCGCACGTCAAGAGGTACCATTCCTCTGAAAGTTCTGAACAGTAACATAATACGATATTGGTCGTCTATATCGAGACGAGATTTACTTACAATGTCCGCTCTTTTTTTAGATGATGCAAATAATTTGCATCGAAACTTTGCAGTCGGACACCTTTGAGTCATGCGAATTTGAATGCAGTCTTAGCCACTATCAAACTTTCCCCGACCCGTGATACCCGTGATGCCAAGAAAGGCTTGCTAAGATCTATGTCTTAGTTTAGCTAACACTCCTCCATCTCGCAGGTTTCTACTATTACTACTACTGTTAGTACTTGTAAATTCCCTCGGCTTGATAGATAGGCGAAGGAACGGGCAGACAGTCGAATAGGCAGGCATTATTCTGGCAAGACAAGACTCTAATATAGACTTAATATACAGTCCTTGATACGTTTGGTTTAAAACTTGGCCCCGGAAGAAAACAATGATTATATATTTACTCTCCTTCTTCCCTTTTTGTTGCATAAAGCAGTTAGTTAAGCTATCAGTTCATTTAGACGGATTGTTTTATCGAGGACGTAATTGAAATTAGATTAATTGTAATAATTAGCATTAGCATGTTATTGATAGATCAATTAATTTATTTTCAGACCAATTACTGCTTCAACTATATGATTTATTTCGATAAACTAGTTAAGATTTCTATTCAACATATCAATAAACTCACACTTTTGATTGTGCTTTTTTAGTGGACGTTAATAAGCTTCCTTGATATGTCTATCTAATAGATTGGATTTCTCAATTGAATACTAGGTATCGCAGCCAATGGTGGCGGATTGAGGCTAAAAGACGAATGCATTTAGTTATACTCGTCTGTTGGGCTTTTTGGTTTAAATTGCGTTTACTTTTCAAAAAATTTAATTAACACAACAAATAAATTACTACTGAATGATAAAAATTAATTTTACAATTACATGCGGCCATCTTCCTATTGTTTTCTTCATACACGCCTTTCGGTTACGTTTTGCTAGATAAGTTAAACGTGTCTGCATGCATTGTAGTATTGTTCTCTCTCTCCTCGTCGCTTACGAAAAGTGATGTATTCGAGTGTGCTCTTCACACTCAACTGTATAAGCAACTGTTATTTACCAGCCGCTTTGTAATCGAGGCCGGTTTGTTAAGGTACGTCGGAAGTATTCTGTTGCATGTACTTATTGTTTTATGGACAAGAATATTCATTGGATTCCTTGCACTTATGGGTCTGGCAGAACTTGACTTTGTGCGTATGAAGTTTCTCATAAGATATTTAAATAGTCGTCTCTCCAAACGAAGATGCGACATTCCCTGAGTCATGTTAAAAAAAACAAATGTTTTTCGTGAAAACTCATCTTGCAAGAATATACAATATTTTCTTCGAAATCTGAACCCGATATCTTAATTTTTGCGATCGGGAGGATGTTAAGCAAAAACATTATATAGGCGAACATGCACATGTACCAGGACTTTAGTTCATAAAATTGCTAAAAACGGTTCTGCAAAGAAAAGTTCAAATTTCTTTACGTCATTTGAAAATTATTTTGATATAGCCGCGCTAAAGTCACAAGTTTGACTACTTTCCTATAGTCGGTTTACGTTCACATACCAAGTTTGAAGAAATAATCAAAAATAGCTCTAGAAAGAAATGCTTAAATGTCTTTAACTCATTCGAAAAGTAATTTTACGTTTCTTAATTTGGACGTAGTAGGCTTCCAAATCCAACATTGAAGCTTCCTTTTGGATGTTGCAAATGTTTGCCAAAATATATTCCTATCCTTCGGTGGTAGGCGTAAAAAGTCAAGTTCTTTACACATTATCGAAATAAGTCATACGGGGTCATATAGAGCCTAAAAAAAAAACGCCTTCATATGAAGAAGCTTAGCATGCTCAGACACATGCACATAATTGTTGCTTTAATGAAATTATTTTATTATTATTTTGCAATAAAATAATAAATAAATTTAGTTAATGTTTTCGTTTTCTTTTATAGAGAAAAAGACTGTACTTCAAGGTATCTCTGGCACATTCAGAGCTGGTGAATTAACAGCTATTATGGGACCTTCCGGAGCGGGAAAATCAACGTTATTGAACATTTTAACCGGCTTCGGGTAAGTTAAATGGAAAAAACACATAGAAAAACTATATACGATTTTGATCGAATCTTTTACGCCCATCACCATATCCCAGAAGAGACTAAAAAAAAGAGATAGAACTAAATTTTGGTATTCTTATAAATGCCGAAATTTACATCGTGTATGTATCGCAATTTATGAGCAACAAGAAAAACACAGATTTCGTTGCATTGGCGCATGGGCGTTGGTGGCGTGTTCTTTGACCTGTTTGCCCGTTTTCAAATCCTTTCACAAATTTTTATGTGATATCTTCATTTTTGCGAACGGAAGATTGATTACCATAGATCCTACACAATTGGACAGATGCAGAGATGGACAGACAGACATGCTTAGGTGTATTACGATTTTGAAACTGGCCAAGAATTTATATGTTTCTGCAAAATTAAATTTTGATACACTGTGATAATGGTCAGGCGTGCTCAAATTTTCCCGTTTTTGTGCATGTGCTACATAGAGATCACTCATAGAGAATATGTTTAGATTTTTCTGCTGCAGATGATGAGTAATAAAAAAAAAACATTTTTTATTTCTTTGTAAATAAAGAAGCTTTCTCAGTTTATGTGATACTGTAGGCGTGTCCTTCAATATTTTTACCAAACTTGAAGTCGTTTTTGCGGCCAGGGGAATATTTATGGCAGACATTACGCAGACAGACGTACGAACAGGCTTAAATCGATCCAGAATTTGTTGCTGATCAAGAAGGTATTTGCGTTGCAAACGTTCTGACAAAGCCAGTATTCCTTCGGTGATGGGTATCAGAGAACTTTGAAAATGAATTCAAATATTTGAAATTCCTTTCAATAAAACTTTAGTGTCGAAGGTGTAGAAGGCTCTATAAAATTTGGTAGCAATAATAGTAAAATGCGTAAAAAAAGCTGTTATATAACACAAAGTGATCATTTTTACAATTTCTTTACCGTGGAAGAGTCGATGATGTTGGCCGCTAGTCTGAAAATATCGAGTAAATCGATGAACATAAGAGATAGGAAGTTGCTGGTAAATAAGAAATACTTTATACCGTCAAAGTTTTTAGATTTAATGTTTTTGCTCTTTAGATTGAGAGTATACTAGCATCCTTGAAACTGAGAACTGTGAAAAGTACCCGATGTGGCCGTTTGTCGGGTGGCCAAAAGAAACGCTTATCTATAGCTTTAGAATTGATTCATAATCCTGCCGTTTTATTCTTAGACGAGCCTACGACGTAAGTCTTTGAAGTAAAAATGCAATGAAATATGAAACTTTCACTTTATTTATTTAAATTTTTTTCTCTTTTTTCCTATAGAGGTTTAGATAGTTCAACTACCATGGACACTATGCAATTGCTGCAGAATTTGGCTAACGAGGGTCGCAGCATCATCTGTACAATACATCAACCTTCGACACATGTTTACGAAATGATCAATCAGGTGTATGTGTTAAGTCAAGGCTATTGCATCTATCAGGGTTCTCCACATAAAACTGTAAATTTTCTTGCAGCTGTGGGCTTACATTGCCCTCCCTATCATAATCCCGCGGACTTTTGTTAGTATTTTGTCAAATTTGTTAAAACTTTTAAAATCTTACTATATTTTATGTGTTGTTCTTTCTATATAAAAGTATTGGAATGTGTTAATGGTGATTATGGGGATTACAATGATATCCTAAGGGAAGAATCGACAAAACCGGAATGGCATTATAATAACAATAATAGTATTCGTCCTTTAGAGGCTAATAATGAGGTGCAAGTTATTAAAATGTCTGAAAATTCGGACGCCTCTCTAACGTTTACTGCTAGTAAACATATTTATCCCCCCCCAGAATGGATGCGCCTATGGATGCTTGTAGGTCGTTGTCACGTACAAATTCTAAGAGATTGGGTAAGCAATTCGATTAATATCCTTTATATCTAACATTAATAAAAAAACACTATTTGTCAATTTTATCAAGACTGTCACGCATTTGAAACTACTATTGCACATAGCATGCGCCCTCCTAGTTGGTAGTTCGTATGGAGATTCGGGTTCAAACGGTAGTAAACAACTGTCAAATTATAGCTTATTAATGGTAGTCTGCCTGTATGTATGGTTTACGACGGCCATGCCGGCTATTGTTCGAAGTAAGTTGTTTTTTAAAAGCAAGTTGTTGTTCATAATTTCACTTGAAAATATTTTTTATTAGTACCCGCTGAAATAATGATAGTGAAAAGGGAAACCTTTAATAATTGGTATAAGTTAAGAACATTTTATTTAGCCCACTTTATTACCTCAGCACCAGTGCATGTAAGTTTATCCGAAATCTTTTTAATATGTGTATGCGGTATTTGCTTTAACTGATCTCTTCCTGGACTATTTCAGATCATTTTTTCTGCAATTTACTCAATAATTATATATTTGCTAACCGATCAATATATGGAAATTGATCGTATAGTGAAATTTATTTTAACTACTATGGTTATAAGCTTATGCGCCGAAGGTATGGGAGTTTTGGTGGCCACGATTTTAAATCCGGTGGTAAGTTAATTTCAAATAATAATGCGTAAGAAAACTGTTTGCTTTACGGCGAATCGTTTGTACCCACCATCGAAGGTAAATACATTTTCGCGTCACGTTTCCACGGAGGTTCTTTATGTCAGCGAATCGCGGTTAAGATTATTTTAAAATTTCATAATGATTTTGTGCGCACTTGATCTTGAAAAGCTAAAGAATTTCGTTTGCGCAATGTCACCCTGTGCCATTAATTATTGTAAGTAAAAGGATGTTGTCAGTTGATGTCATTTGAGTTCCAATACGGTTACCAAAACCAACTATTTGTTGAAAGTCCCATTCTGTGCTGTATAACGGGTGGGAGAAAATTATTACCCAAGTACATAACTTGGCATTTTTACTAAACTAAGGGGTTGCGTATCTAAAAAGTGTTTAATGAAAGGCACAAAATGATAGTAACTATGATAACTAAACGTGGTTCAGTAGTGTAGAATAGAACGCACTTACGCGTCTTAATTTCTTAGAACAAGGAGCGAAAGCTACGGACACTTGTAGCTTTTAGGCTGAAAGGAAACGAAATCAAGTGCTGGATCGGCCAGCATTATGCCATTAGGCTGCGCATACCAGAAAGCAGAGAGCAGAAGTCAGCCCGGTAATGTCCACTTCTGCCCCACTACGAATTTACTAATCCCACCGGGATCGTAGAAATGTTTTTTATGGACTCTTGATGTCCGGTAAGCAAAATATTAACGTGGCATGAGATATAATATTAAACCTTTATTACCTAAGATGCCTACACAACATTCGTGTATTCTTTGATGGTGTGCATAAACATGATTGATTTTTGATACTTGTTAAATAAATTGCATTTGATCTTGCAGAACGGGGTTTTCTCAATGTCAATTATAACGTGTTTTGCGTTAATCTATTCGGGTTTCATAATATATTTTAACCATATGACTGCTCCAATGCGCATAATATCATACCTGTCACCGCTTCGTTATGGTATGGAAAATTTAACCTCCACCATATTTCATAATCGACCAGATGTGCAATGTCCCTCTAACGTCCTATATTGCCATTTCAAGTAAGTGAAGGAAATACAAATTTGATAGAGAAAAGTTTTACATAACATAAGCTAAAAATGAGATTTTCTCACTTTTACAGAAGCGCGAAAACATTAGTGAAGTTTGTTAACATGGAACGCGTTAATTATGGCTTAAATTTATTGATATTGTTATTGAATTTGGTCGTTTATAAGAGTATCGCTTACATAGCGCTGAAACGTAAAATTAATCAAGCGAATTAGTTAGGGCGTTATAAAGAAACCAAAAAAAAAAAAAAAAAAACAAACGCAATTTATTAGTATTAGCAAAATTTTGATTTATTGCATTCCATAATCTGTGTAAGAACGACGACACCTTTAATTTTCATTTTAATATGTCTTTTTTAATATTAATTAATGTAATGTACAAAAAAAAAAAAAAAAAAAAAAAACAAAAATTCTTTTTAAAAAATTGACAAACACTATTTTCACGCTACGGGTGGGAGTTACTAGTGTTATAAGAAAATCATTTCGAATGTGCTAGGCAGGGCCTCTAAATAAGTATAACTTAATAAGTAAAGCGATATCATTTAATTAATTAAAATTTTACACTTAAGTATTGTAAATAAAATAATGATGTGGGATGATATTTAAATTTTGCAAGAGAAAAAAGATTTTATCTGAGATAAAGTATGAAATAATAAATATCTTGAATCATTCAATCGCAGCTCCGAGTTATTATTGGGACTACAAAGTTTGGGTTCGGTACAGTTCGGTAAGAGAGATTGTAATTAGTGCAGGATGGTAAAACTGTGACTTCTTTATTGGCAAGTACTCCTAAGTTTCAAAGCGTACACAATATAGTTTCTTGGATAATGTTTTGTGCCAAAGAAACTAAAATTGCGGGAATCTTCACTTTTCCTACTTAATTCAAAGGATAACCAATCCTTACGAGTAATGAACAGGGGATGTGTTGTTATGTCCAAATACTTAATAACCACGATAGGGAGTTTGCGAGTCAATAACATCGACAACAAGTCTAAATGTTCTTGACGGCCCCCGTTGAAGAGGTCAGCTGGACCTGACCTATTAAAGTTCATTCCAAGCAAATGAGAATACTAAGCTCAATTATTGATACGATTGGGCTAAAAAATGACAGTAATAGTTCAAGAACTAGGATATCGTGAGCTTCATTCATGTAGCATAGCTCGTCCGGGAAATGCAAATTTGGTAAAGTCTCAAATGCAAACTGGATATTGGACCATCCGTTAATAACAACCGTCCATTTCTATGCGAAAAAAATTCTATCCTGCCCGTGTAACTAAAAAACTGCATACCTCTCTAATAAAACCAATATTTGGATATTCGCTGATGATTTGGATACCTAGGTACAAATGTCACCTCGGCTTTATTGAATCGGTGGAACGAAACTTTTTAGCTTTTTTCTCTCTACAAGGGTTAAAGTGAAAGTTTACCTTAGAGTTGCTGCTTTATAAAAATAGATTAGAACTTTTTCCCTTATTTGCATTAGAGAAAAGACGTAAGATATTCATATGTTACCGTTCATTGTAAAAGGAATAAAACGAACGATTGGTTCCCCACTCTTGTTTCAGGGAATCGAATCCTAGTTATTTTGGAGATTAGCAAGACGCGGTTTACTATAATGCCACACATACTGCTCCAGTTTTTTAATCTTTTCGGGCTACTTTGTTTCTTTGATAGTCATCCCAACTCGATGAACGTCGTTTGTTTGCTATTCTACGGGTTTGCCGCTAAGTATCTTCTATTTTAAGTTCAAAGTAATCAGAAACGATATCATTATGTTTTCTATACCATTGAATTCAGTGCTATTTCACGTTAGGACATTGCCTTGTTTTTATTACTACTCTCTCTTTAATTCTTTTCTTTCGATGCACTAGATTTTTATTTAACTGTTGTATACTTTTTCATGTTACACCTAAACCGGTTTTCTGTAAATGGAAAAGTTGAAGTAAATATGGAAATCAAACGTTTAAAAAAACTTGAGGTAAATTTTTCACTTGCATGTAAAAGGAATTGTGCTCAAGTACTTTGATCTCTCTCTACTCTCCTCATCATCGATTACTTTAAGTTAAATTTTTTTCTGTATATTTGGTTCAATGCAGCATATCGGGCCGTATGTCCGAAGTTATGCACCTCGTCAGTCGAACAACAAAACATGATACCCTTGTTAGCGTATTGAAAGGCCGAGCAAACGTTTTCCAAATCAATTCCGAATCAATTTCATGACAGATGTTATGGCAAAACATTCTCGCTGTAAAACTATGGAATAAGATTACTACGAAAGGGAAGGAAAGTGCAAACGTGTGCGCATACAATTAGTGTTGATTAATTGGTAGATTGAAGCTTGTTTTCACCCTTCTCGAATTGATCTATAAAATGTCCATAGCAAGTTTACTTTAACATCTTATTTAGGAGTTCAAGTTTCGTATCTGTTGTTTTGCCCCAAAAGAGTAAGTATTAGATAAGTAACATATTTGCTCCAAGTGTAATAATAATACCTTTTATGGATTGCGAGGATAAGGGTTTCTTTCTTTTTATAACCTTTTATAGCTTTCTTAAAAAGCAAATCTTTATTAAGACAAAAATTACGATTTTATTTTCTTCTTAAAACTAACAGCAGGATGAAAGTAACAACTTGCTATGGGTTATGTCACGAACCGCAGCAAATATTTGCTACTTTTCGTTAGATTTTACGTTTCGTTCAGGAAAACGGGAAAAAGAAGAAAGCAAGTCGTAATCTTCAAATGATAATAAGCATATTTGGTTTCTTAATCAGTGAATAATCCGAAACCCATGTCTTCATCCTCTTCTTCGGATTCTTCTTTCTCCTCTTTTTTCTCTTCAACGACAACGGGTGCGACGAGAGTCACAGGAGCAGACGATACAGCAAATTTGCTCGGGTCTTTTATGTATTCCTTAATGGTAGCAGCTTCCTTGAATTCGATCTCTGTAGTGGCCGAAATAGCTAGTAAGTTCTTGAAGCCGTTGGCAACGCTATGCGGAACTGAAGCTATGGTTGGATAGCCGACTTCCAAACATACAGCGGCCAAATTGGCTACACCAGCCTGAAACTTCGCACGCAAATCTTCGGGTTTAATATCCAAGATTTCCGGAGAAAATATCGAGCCAGAGTCGTAGACTTGATTAGTAACCAAACCATAAGAAAAGGGTGAAATGTTTAACATGTTAAGTAAAGTGGCTTCGGAAGCTCCCACTTTATCACCAGGCTTTAAAATAGGTACGTCATTGATAATTTCAATGGTACCTTTAGAAATTTTTGTGGGTATAGACAAGGCTTGGAAAAAAGATGTCTTCTCTGGGCCCAAACCGGTGTTTTGAGCTGGAATTACTACCGGTAAAGGAGCAATAGCACCAGCACGAGCTGGAGCACGCACTTTGGATTCCAGCAACTTGTCACGAACCTCAGCCAAATCACCCTTGGTAAACACGAAACCCACATTACCTTTAATATGAGGTAACAATTTTTCTAGCTGTGGATTACTTTCAAGATGACCACGAATAGCTTTGCGCATCATTGTATTTTTACCCATCAAAACTATGCCCATGCCACGAAGACTGATGCGGATGGTCTGCATTTGACGTGAACCGACATTGTCGGCGCCCACAATAAAGCATTTCGGATATTCATTGAAGAGTTCAACAACTTTAAGGAAATATTGCGCTTTCCAAGCAGCTTTGTTCTCCCTAACCATCTTGATACAAGGTTTTTGTAATTAGAACTGCACAAGATGACGTCTTTGACGAAAAAAAAAATGGGTTATGTGTATATTTTTTTCACCTTCTTATTGTTACACGAAATGAATAATGGGATTAAAAAATAGAAAGAACACTTGCAGGTAAGACATTCGATTTTTTTTTTTTTTTGGAAGGCAAACTAGATGAGAAGAATTTGACATTCATTCACAAAGTGTGTGCTTGATCGTAACATTGGGTGTACAATTTCATATTGGAGGAGTGAACGTCTTAAGAATCCATTGGTGTTTTGTAGTAGTATGACCAGAGCGAATTTTCGTAAATGTCTTAATTTTGATTTTCTTGATATTGATTGCATATGTAGTTGGAACGAGTTTGGCATACGGATGGTATGGATGGTAGCAATATCGATTTTTTTCATCAATTTTCTTTTTAATTTTTGAAGGACAATGCCTTCCAGCTGGATGATTAATATATTTACTAGATTTGCTTATATTCTTTTAAAAATTCATTTTAATGATACCTTTACTTTATTATTTAAACATTTTTATGCAGAACATATACTGTTTCCTATAAGCATGTTACATTTAGCTTAGTAAATACCAGAAGTGCAGCAGTCGCCTACACACACTCTTTGGCATTTTATAGCAGTTATAGTTATGGTGGTTTTCTAATTCATATTCATATCAATGCATATCTCCCTCCGACCATAAATATTCATAGATATATATAGAGTAACAAAATATATTTTTACGTACATATATATTTTCATTTAAACCTACTATTCAAATGTCCATTGCATAACATAGACGACTATATCCAGATCAATTGTATTATAGGTGCGTATATAATCGTATATTACTTGGTTTTCTCGTCCCAAGAACCCATTCGTGGAAGAATCTTTTGTGTGATTGTGTTTGCTTTGTACTTTCAGTTTTACAGATTGTACTCTCCTCACGCATTGCCTGCCCCTTGATAGGCGCGTGGTCAATTGTTTCGAATAGCTGGCTCCCCTCTATATAATTTAAGATAATAAGATAAATAAATATAAGCCCCGTTTATACATTACATACATACATAATACATAAACACATAAAAAATATGTATAAATACATAAGGATCGCTGCGGTGCCGGTGTGTTCGTATCAGTAAAGGTATATTAATGTAATTACTAAATTTTATATATAAAGATGACCATAAACTTATCATTGGACTATGGAAGTATCGCATTCCGCTGAAGCGATAATGCAAGCGTATGCCATTTTTTAATCTAAAATGAAATAAAAGCATATGAATAATTTATACGTAATAATAAGTAAGGATGAACACCAACTTACCTTTGGCGTACAGCGAATCTTCACGTATATGAGGCGGTGGGCGGCGGCGTTTCGTTCCTTTTTAGTCTAAACTCAAATATGAGAAACTTAATAAGCAATATACAAATATAAATATATAATAATATATTTAACTTCATTTTACTGCACTTTTTAATACACGGTTTCTCCTTCTTCGTACGGTGGACGGATCTTTACAACGCTATACTGAAAGATGCGTGGAATGTTACCTGTATCTACAAATACGCAGATGAATTGATCGCCTGCGTATACGCAACTTTGCAACAATAAAATCGTTTTCAATGCAAGTGTGCAAGTGCGTTGTTGCTTTCCTTTCTCGTCAAGTAATTCAAACTTCAAGCATGTGTAAAGAGGTGTCTTCTTCTTGTGTGTTAGTCTTTTTTTATACCCACCACTGTAATATGGGGGTGTACCCTTTTTTTTCCATAATGTATGTAACACCCAAAAGGAAGCTTCAGAGACCCTATAATATATAGAGACCCTATAATATATTACATCAGTGTGAAATTCTGAATTGATTTAGCCGTGTCTGTCCGTCGGTGTGTCTGCATGTTTGTGAGGTGTTTGTTGTTGGCGCTCTCCTGGTCGCAAAAGAGAAGATATCGATTTCAAATTTGGTAGAAACATTGAGAGCTTCTGCACGCATTGAAAATGACTCAAATTGGCCAGAGCGAGAGCGCGCAGTGAAGCGCAAACTGAACTCAAGTCCGTATATTTTAAAAACTTTTTAATTTTTTTTAAATTTTTTATGAAACACGATGATAATCTCAGATGTTGATTAAATTAATTGTAAAATAATATATGTAAAATAAAAAAAAATTAATTTTTTTTAAATTTAAAACTTTAATATAGTTCTCGAGAAAAAGCCCGAAATTTCATGAAAATATTACTGAAAATAATGAATATCTTTCTACATACTTCAGATCTATGAAGCGACTAAGAAAAATGTTTTGTCTGTAAAATTTACAGCGTTGTTATCCCTTAAGGTCGATCCACTTTTTAGTACACCGATGAATTTACTTTATTTCGTTCGTCCGAAGTCTGCCCGCAGGTTGTTGCTTTTAACCTACGGATTTGAGATATTTTAAGGGAATTTGATACATTGATGTGTTTTGGATCAATGACGAATATTTTTGATAATGGACCATTTTTACTGTTTGTCCGTCCCCTTCTCGTCTACCTTGGAGAAATCAAGGAGATTGCCTATTTGCAGATTTCTTTACTAAGTGTTCAGCTTTAAGATGTAACAAGCAGGTCTGCGAGCCATTGAGGTGCGTAATGTGAATTGGCTCTTGGTGTATACAGGGTTGATACCTGTTCCTTATACGTTAAAAATCTAAGATGATAGCAATAAATTGGAAAGTTAAACAATTGCATTAAGTTGTCCACCCACTCCAAAGCATACCTGCTTAGTCATAACTAAACAAAAATGGTATCGCTACGAGGTACTTTAACGCAAACGGCGTTTGCGAGTGTTGGGTGCGATTCTTTGAGTTGTACTTGAGGTGACTGTGGTTATCTCAAATTGCGGGAGTATTAAATAGTTAGAGTTGCATGATGGGGCTCACCTTGTCCAGAGGGCCCTTGCCTAGGTCACTTGCAAAATTATCTTGCAAGTTTTCAAGCTTCGACTGATTAAGTTACCAGGGTGCAGACGTTAAAACATAAAGCCTCTCTACTCCTCCTCTGATTTTGATGAAGTCCTTACTTTAAGAAAAATGTATTATATTCAAATTTCTCAATAAAATTGCTAAGTAATTGATTTTCGATAAATTAATTTGAACTAAAAATTTTAATCGCATGACCCATTTTTTTGGAATTCCTTCTCACAACAACTGTAAGCCTTTACATAACAACAATTTATATTATATTGTATTGTATGACTAATACAAGTGAGAATAATATCAGACGAAGCGGTGTAGGGTATTTAAAAATTTCGAAGAGGCTCGAGCAAAAAAATTTTCTAAAGTACTTGACCTTGGAATTTAGAAAACAAGTGTTTTATATTTTTTATTATTAATTTCCTATACTATAGTTTTGATATACCCATTATTGTGTTGTGCTTGCGCTTCATCTCATGAACGAACATCTCCATAGCCAGTATATAATTATTTTTGTCAACCAAACCTTGCTTTAAATTATTTCCAGGAGTGACAAATCAATAGTTCTAAGCGATATCTCTCTCCCACACTTGACACAAATCGTATATTTTCAGAATACATTTATTACCGCTTTGTAGGAATAGACGGTAATGAAACATTCTTTTCGTTTATTACGTTTTGGAATATTTGTTAATATCTCTTGTCGGGAAAGTGCCAAAAGTGACATTTCATTGCTGTTGATTTCTGAGAGTAAAAATTTATTTTCGAGAAAACAATTTGCTCTTTGCTGTATGTTTCTTTATGAAAGTATTTTCTTACACTAAAAAAATAATTGTTGCAGAAAATAAGGGCGGTGTTATACGGAAGAAGAAGTGTTTCTAAAAAATAGATTTAATAACGATAAAGCAAAAGTTTCAACATCAGAATAAAGAAATTTATATAAATATGTTTAAATCAACGTTCGACAAAAACTTGGGTAAGTTTCCTTTCCCGCAACGCACAAAACAAAGAAGGTGAATCATGCTATCAATTTAAGTGCAGAAAGATAAGTTATACATAATTAAAAATAATTGCTGGCTGTCATCGTACATATATATATATATATATGATAATCTGTTTTCTTTTATTATGCATTAATAAAAATAGACAACGCCACCAGTCATTTGCGCTTGGAGCCTGATTGGCCATCAATTATGATGATTTGTGATGAAATTAATCAGAAAGATGTCACGTAGGTTACTATGAAATGTGTGTAGATTTGGGAGTTTATTTAATATTTCGTAGGCCTAAAAACGCTTTCGCTGCCATTAAGAAGAAAATGATTTCACCCAATCCCCACTCGGCTTTTTATGCGTTATTAGTACTGGAAAGTGTGGTCAAAAACTGTGGTGTTCCTATGCACGATGAGGTTTTTACAAAGGACAACTGTAAAATGTTTAGCCAATTTTTGGAGCAAACGAATCATGAGAATGTTCGCTCTAAAATGTTAGAATTGATACAAACATGGGCATACGCGTTTCGTTTATCGGATAAATATCAAGCTATTAAGGTAAGAGGAAGAATTAAGCGTTTTCTTTTTATCGCTTATTTTATTTGTTTGACATATCTGTTAGGAAGAGTTTGACAATGCAGTAGCAGGTACACGCTAATTCAATTAGGCTAAAGTGATTTCATCAGTAGATAGTTCAGAAAAAAGTATATTCAATAGGGAAAATTCTATTAAATATGAGTACAGAGGAAGAATTTAGCGATGATGAGGAGAAGGTGCTAGGAGATCGATATATAACGTAGTTTGCATAGCGAGTAAATTTATTGCTTATATCTCTTTTTATCTTCAGGATACGCTGACCATTTTAAAGACGAATGGACATCCTTTTCCTGAACTAAAAGAGGCAGATGCTATGTTCACTACGAATAATGCTCCCAATTGGGCTGATGGCAAGGTTTGTCATCGCTGCCGTGTCGAATTTACTATAACTAACCGAAAGCATCATTGTCGTCATTGTGGGCAAGTGTTTTGTGGTCAATGCACGACGAAACAATGCCCTTTACCTAAATATGGCATAGAGAAAGAAGTAAAATTAAGCATTAAATTTTAAAAAGCAATATTTAATAAGGCGGATGTTCCTTATTGTAGGTGCGTGTCTGCGATGGCTGCTTTACTTTATTGCAACGTCCAAGTAGCGCCAAAACTGCCATTCATGCCGCAGACAGTGATTTACCAGCTGAGTATCTAAACAGTTCATTGGCTCAACAGGTCCAGGTAAATGCAGAATTGCGTAATAAAACTATTTATTCGTGTCTTTATGTTTAAGATTTTGTACATTCTTAGACCCCGCCGCGTAAAAGTGAGCAGGAATTAAAAGAAGAAGAAGAACTACAGTTGGCAATTGCTTTAAGCCAATCGGAAGCTGAAATAAAGAAGCAGCAAAAACAGCAGCAAGTGGGTTTTTTTATTTTTTTATTTTCATAACATTACATGCTAAGATAATTGTTTTTCTTTGACTAGTCTTTGGCAGCTTATCGTTTTCAACAACGTTCTCCGAGTCCTGAGGCTCCTTCAGCTCCTAAGGAAACAGCAGAAGAAAACAACCCAGATTTGGAAAAATATCTTAATCGTAGTTATTGGGAGCAGCGTAAAATCAGTGACTCACCCATGGCTAGCCCGTCAGCGCCTAGCCCGATGCCACCAACACCACAACCTCAACAGGGTGATCAATCCGAAGCAACTCCGGCAGTGAATGATTTTCGTTCGAAAGCAACGGACGAACAAAAAATCGACGAGTTCGCGAACAACATGCGAGCCAATGTGGAAATTTTTGTGAACCGCATGAAATCTAACTCTAGTCGTGGTCGCAGTATTGCCAACGATAGCGCAGTTCAGTCTTTGTTTATGAATTTAACTTCAATGCACTCTCAACAGCTGTCATACATTAAGGAATTGGATGATAAACGCATGTGGTATGAACAGCTGCAGGATAAAATAACTCAGATTAAAGATTCACGTGCTGCTTTGGATCTATTGCGTCAGGAACATACGGAGAAATTAAGACTGATGGCCGAGGAACAAGAACGCCAAAGACAAATTCAAATGGCTCAAAAGTTGGAAATCATGCGTAAAAAGAAGCAGGAGTACTTACAATATCAACGTCAAATGGCTTTGAAACGCATTCAAGAGCAAGAACGCGAAATGCAGCTACGTCAAGAGCAACAAATTGCTCAGTATCGCATCAGTCAGACAGCTTTTCCTTTTATGCCTGCTTTGGCTGCTGGAAGAATTGCGCAAAACTCGCCCCCGCATCAAATGACGGCTGGGGTTTATAATCCATATACGCCGGCGGCAACATCAGTCGGAGGTGCCGCCGCTATGCCTCCGTATAGTCCAGCAATGGCCACTGCTATGCCTGGGATGTACATTCACAGCCCAAGTTTGCAGCCACCTCCACCACAAACAGCTAATGTCATGCCTCAACAGCCACACCAAATTCAAGGACCCCTTGCTAACATGATTCCTACGCAACCGCTAGGGAATGAACCACAACAGCAATTAAGTCAATTGCCGCAGCAACAGGTTGTTCCGCCACAACGACAACAGCATCAAGTTGTTAACGAACTTCAAACAACGCAATCGCATGAACAACAGCAACAGCAATTAGGTCATATTATGTTGCAACAACAGGTTATGCACAGTCAGGCGCCCATCCCGAATGCTCCTAACGCTCCATCGCATATTGTAATGGCTCAGCCGCCGTCCTCGACACCACCTCAGCAGCAACAACAAGCGCAGCAATCGCAAGGGCCGTCGGTTTCATCTCAGGCGGATAATCAGATCCAAGCAATTAATTCGGCCCCAGCTCCGCCACAGCATGAACCGGAACCCGCAATGGTACCAGCTTCGAAGGAGCCTGCGACAGCTGAGCTTATTAGTTTTGATTAAAAAGAATGATACAAACGATTACTCACTACTTTAATAAACAAATTTCGATTTTAAAACCTGCTTTTATTCTTATTGTAAGCTCTACGTGCATTCCTGTGTTGGTATTATGGAATAAAAACAATACACATTTAATTTGAAATATAAGTACTCTCTCCTAAAATTAACATAATTATCTCTTAAATACAGTAAATATTATAAATTAATAAAATGCATCCTTATTCATTTGATAATTCAGAGGAAACGATCTCAACCTATATTATGTACAAAAGTCTGACGGAACGTTAAGACGAAGGCGAGAAAGCTTGTAAAATGTTGGCTCTTCTATCTCCTTGACTTGACCCTTAATTGCTAGGAAAAGGGAGAGGAAGGAATTTTCAGAAAGACGATATAAAAAGTAATTGCGTTGAGATGAGGCGATGTAGGCGTTGTATCTTACCTGATAACGTATAGTTGTATTTTCTTTCGAAACTAAAATTAATAGTAAGCAGTAACTGTGGCCGAAAATATTGCAAGTCTTTGTTAAAGAGTGCTTGCCCTCGACGAGAATTATTGGGCATACCAGAAAAGACCCGCTTCGAAATATTAACTCGACCGAAGCAAGATTGGTAACGCTTGTTAGTTAAAGTCCTATTGTTAATAAATTTTTGTCTCTGGCTACGGCCATTCGGAAAGATTGAAACTTAATCTTAAATTAGTCATGACTATCATTATCACTAAGAAGTGTAAGTGTTGGTGAAGGGATTGAAAATACATAATAAGCGTGCAATACAAGGCTTCAAATATTCATATCTATGTATGTAAGAATGTACTGAACCGAGGGAAAATTGTAAATGAAATTAGATGTTCATAATAATTAACGAAAAATAAATTATTTCTGCCTCGTTTTTCCATAAAAATTATGAAAATGTTTCCTAATTCACTAAATAGATTAACTCTTGTTTGTTGCTCAAGCAGAGCCACGTTAAGAGATTAATATTCAAATAATTCCGTTTGCAACACGCAATTAAATATCCGTTGAAGATTTTATAGATAATACGGAGGGAATGAGACAGTTTAAGACGCAGTATAAAATTATGTCAAAAAAATATCTTTTGTTCGTTTGTTCATTGTTGACCTCCATCAAGTTGTCAAACATATTAATAGACATTATATATATATCAAAATAGTCAAAAATTGAAACAATGACATATGAGCAATAATCGAAAATTATATTAATATGATAATTAATATCAATTTCGAGTCCTTAAGCGAGGCTAACGTCACACATGGTTCGAATATTAAGAGGAATTTTTGTTGATAACACACATTGTTCGTATGGTAAAGAATTGCTTTGAGGGTTTTGGTAATTAAAATTCTTTAACAATTATGTTAACACATTACATCTTTTCTATAAGCTATTTTGGATATAAATACATTTTAATACGATTTGACTTTAGATGGGACTCAAACAAAAGAAAAGAGTAACTTTTCATTCATCATGTTTTTACACATGTACATGGGTATATATAGGTATGCTGGTGTGCAAACGGAAACAATTGTTTGGCAAAAGTGTATTGTTATTCTTTTTAAAACATTAGCAACAACACCTCCATATATATATATATATATATAATATGTTAACCCAACTGGAACATATGATCTCGTTTTTATATTTCCTTAAAACAAATCTAACATCACAACAATAACAAAAGCAACAACAATGATAAACAAACCTAAAAACACATCACTGTAGGGACACATAACAAGTTAATGTAGACTGAATATATACATGTACATATATATCTATATGTATATATATATATTCATTCATGACATCATGGGTATATGTACATATGTACACACACACATATATATATATATATATATATACATGTTTTTATGAGTTGTGTGTACAGAACCATGTAAGCTGATCTCAGCTAGATATGCATTTACAAGCATATTTTTTAGCTTTGTTCTCATTTTCAAATGGAAATATTCCCAAATGTTTGGCAAAAATATTGGATAAGTTTTTTTCGGTACATAACGATTATTTTGAATGCTAATGTTATGCAAATTGAAAGGAAATATTTATCGTTCGTATCGTTTTTTATAGCCTACACCACTTGCGATAAAAGGAGATATTAAGTTTTTGCGGATTTATGCAATCACCAGAAGGATTTGCAATAGACTCACGATTCGATTCAGAATCGCTTTCTGCACTCATGTAACCCTGTCTATCCTTCCGTTTGTCTCTCTTGTTTTTTTTGGTTCAATCCACAGGTCGCGAATTTTTGAAATATTTTCGTGAAATATTGTCGCCCAAGCAGGAATCGCATTGAAAATTGTTCGGATCGAACTACTTTTTTGACCACTTCCCACACAACACCTTATTTTAAATGGTCGTTACTTGAATAACTGTATTAAGCAAAATGGTATAGGATATTTAACGGTGACGCATGTCCACTATAATGGTTTACGTGTTTTCATATTACAGTTGACCTCTCTCGTTAATGTTTTGTGATATCTTATATTCTGGCAAAAAAAAATGTTGAAGCTTTAAAACTTTTGGGAGATCATATATACGAAACAAAGACGCATTCCATTCATTCAATTCACATTCCATTTATTTTGGTAGGCTCAATATTATTTAGGTTAAAAAAAAAAGATAGTATCATTTTTCTATATAAGCAGTAAACTGATTAAGTGCAAGTCCTGAATTATACACAAGGTTTTATTTTGAAACTATTTACAAACGAAGCGGAGACTTAGCTACGCTCTCATATCATTCGCTTTTCTTTTCGTTTAAACCGCATTATTATACCGCTGTAGGTCACAATTTTGCAGTTATGATAAGAAGACCAATAACTTTTACGACTTGTATCTTATATAATACGTATGTATATAAATATGACTTAATATCCCATGAGCGAAAATATTTTGTTCTTGTTGCAAAGAAATATTTAATTTATCGAAAAAATTGATCGAAGCCCGCTTCCAAAGCAATCGGATGAAAATTTTAATGTGAAAGTGTTAGAGTAATGCATAAATTGATTTATGATTATCGCTACTATTCCAATGGAAATTGAATTGTACTGAGCAGTGGTGATCGTTTATGGGTCTCGATATCATGTGAACTCGGTAGCTGTCGATTATTGACTCACTCCAGCGAATAAAGAGCTTACAGCTGTCGATAAAGCATGCATTTCGCTACTCTACACCACTTGTGATACGAGGAAATATTTGTGTTGGTGTATGTAACACTCAGAAGGATGTGAGATAGACCCACTTTTTGTTATACCGATCGACTGAGGATCACTTTCTCAATCGCCTTAGGCTTGAAGGAATTGGGAACACTGACGTGTTTTGTCTCAAGGACGAAAGCGATTTTTTCGAGCACTCACCACGTAAAGCTTTATTTGGAAAACCTGTTATAGGAATAAGTTTAGGATAATGAAGGGTATTTAAGGGTGGGCTCTAGCTCACCATTCAAAGTACGATCGAGTTTGCTCGGTATACAGCATCTTCTGCTAATTTTTAACTACTTACTACATGAAGTTTTTCGGATTTTATATAATTTCTGCAATGAGTTGTATTTAGGAAAAGATCATTGGACATTTTTTATACGCAAGGAATGCGGAAGAGAAAGCATAATTCATTTTTGTTTCTACGCTTCTAAGCACTTCAACTTCAAGTGCGAAGATGTGAAAGTGAGTAAAGCTTATTCGAGTCGAAAAGGGACAAATTTTCTTTGTATCTTTTGTCTCTGGAGATTTCTTATTTGATTTCAAAATATGCAGACTATAGAATGAGAACTTTGTTCGAATCTTTCAGACGGTAGTGCAGTCTCTTGATAATTTTCTTTTTCTCTTGGACACTGGCGCGCGATATATAATAACATGCTATGTAACTTTGTTAAAGCATTTGAATCCGATTTTTTTGACATATATAGCAATAGAACGATGTCGTAAGAGTCGGTTTATTGGTAAGAATTGTATTCGTTTGTTGGAATGTCTTAAATTGTTTAGCTTTTTTGTTCAACTTTAATCGGTGAGCATGTGTTTGTAACAAATTATATTAACACGTGTTTCTCTGTCACTTATGAGAATCATGGGAATATTTAAAATGTTTTGGTCTTTTTGTTTAGTCTTAATTCATTTAGATATTCAAACAATATATATTATACACAGGCTACATATCCTTTGTAAATGAACTATGAAATAATCAAAAAATTGCTGAAAAAAGACCCAACGTGCATGGATTAGGATTGATTGCTCGAAGGTCAAATGCATAAAGCTATGAGCAGTGGGCTCCACGTCACTTTTGCCTATTAGCGAAAACATGGAGCTGACGTTTGTTTTTTTTTTTTTTTGCCGAACATGATTTGGCGATAAAAATTGTGATTGTCAGAAGAAGAATTTTGAAAATAGTTTATCATATTTAGCAATGGTTGTAGAGGTTCCACTAATGTCGTTTGACAATCGATAATATAATATATAAAAATAAGAACAAGAAAAAAAAACAAGTAAGTAAGTTATATTCGGCGGGGGCCGAATCTCGCCAAACCACCACTATGTTCTTCGCATTCTATTCCGTGCCTATATCGCTGGTATTATTAATCACTTGCAATTTTATGTGGGCATGGCGAATGTTTTCCTTTTTTACCTCCAAATTTCAGCCTCCTAACCTTTTCAATTTCCGAGTAACGAGCAAAAATCTCAAAAGTTTTTCTTAAAAAAAAACAGAGTTGGGTTCAATTTACGCTCCATTGCGCGCTTACGCTCTGATCGATTTGGGCCATTTTCAATACCAGTTTTCAACCAGTGTGCAGAAACTCGCAACGTTTCTACTAAATTTGAAGTCGACTAGAAGAGTGCCAACAACGTGCGTTGTACAGGCGCAGAGACGGACAAGCATGGATTAATCAATTCAGAATTTCACGCTGATCAAGAATATATATATATTTTATCGGATCTCCAAAGCTTCCTCTTGCGTTTTACATACATTATGAAAAGGAACAAAATGAGTATACTACCACCATCTTGGAGTGGTGGGTATAATAAAATAAACAAAAACAAAA